ACCGAATCGATGGACCCGGGAGAAGACAACGTCAGAAGCTTGTCGATGCCGCCACAAGTGACCTTGCCAAGATGGGGAACATTAACGCCGGAAGATTTTGACGCTTCCTTGTAATATTTGATGTGAGTGAGATATTCACATTAACCTATGAACAACTATTAAATTGTGTCCATAGTTATTCCATTTTTGATATAAAACTATATTTTGGAAAACCTTGAACACGCATAATATTTTTTTAGAAAGTTGTAATTCTGAAACCGCAGGGCATTGACTTGTCCATGCTTCTCGCCATGAACTTGTTTGTGCTTCTTGGTGAGCTTGAACAACCCAAGCTCATGCTCACCGAGGTCCACAAAAGCATCGATGTCGGGAAAGAAAAATGAGGTGACCGATAGACTCCGCCTCTCTACGTAAAACACATCCACTCTCTTGTCGACAACATTTCTTCACAAGTTACATGATACCAGCATGGAGCTTTTGTCTAAAATGGACACCTGGTATGGACATACATGAGTACCTGATAGGCTGATATGACTATCCCCCAAAACAAATATTTTAACACCGGAATGAACCAGCCACAAATCCTTGAAAGTGTTGTTTGTACTGAATGCATCCTTTTTTGCAAAGAGATTGGAAATTGAAGCAATATTTGCATAAAAACGAGAGATGCCTTTGGACAATCGATAAAAATTCAGCCTGCATCATTCAAGAAGCATACTATTTTAAAAGTTCTTGCCCAAATATACTGACACAGTTCCAGTCGTGTTGTGCTTAGCTTAGTCACATTCTTCTTATCATACATTCACGTACTAAGGCTCTCTCTTTTGTACCATCTACCTTATGTTCCTTTTTTTTTGAAATACCTTTTGGTCCTTCAGAGTAACATATACTCCTTCCGTTCCTAAATATAAGTCCTTTTTACCTTTTTAGTGATTTTCATATGTACTACATACGGAGTAGTTTAGACTGTAGATTCACTCATTTCGCTCCGTACGTAGTTCATATTGGAATTTCTAAAAAGACTTAGACTTTTTTTTTGAGGGGAGCATATATAAGTGAAACTCAAACTACCACGAACAAAGATTGAAGCATGCAAGCAGACTCGCCAACTTGGTGTACTTGTTTTTGTTATGTACACTATTAGGGTAGCAAATTCTCTTTATTGGTACGGTTGTTTGTTGTATATATATTTATCTACAATCTATAATATCTAAATAGTTCATCCCTACTAACCTATTTTTGTTGACATGCAAAGTATCCACCTCATCAAGGCTTCCACATCAGCACTTTCAGCCCTAATAGTACCACGTCATGCATGCGTTCCGTTACTGTACTTAATAGGGTATTTAACGTAACTGAAGACCCTCTTTTCTTCTTGGCAAAAAAATATTGAAGACCCTCTCTCTGTTTCCCTTTCTATGCGGCTTATGGGAGCCTATCTCCGCGTCATTGAGCTGCTCCGGTTGGACTGGCAGCCTCCGGCACCCCTTCCCGCAAAAAAATAAAAAAATACTAAAAAAAATCGTCAGTTGCGCCCTCCCTTCGTTTCACAGCGGCACGTGGCCTCAGCTCAAGGCACTACGACGCCAAGATCCAGTACACAGCTGACCACCAATTACTGTACATAAACCATATGTCTAATAATTGTTACATTCGCTTGACAAGCATTTCTATAATTTGCAAGATTGAAATAACATAGAGCTATCATTTTGCAAAAGTGGTTTGCATGAACCCACAAGCATCCCACTTCGGTGGTAAACATCATTTCCTTCTTATCTCTTATTTGTCCTCTAAGAATACACCCAATGAGTTACAACTTGGTATACTATCTTTCCACAGCAACGCGCGAGGTGTTATCTAGTTTCTTCAATATGTCATGCCATTTTAAAAGTAAATGTTTGTATAACTAGAAAGAAGTAATATTTAAAAAACATACATTAAATTTTTAAAAATGTTCATGTGTTTAAAAATGTGTTTGTTATATTTGAAAAAAATGTTTATACAATATAAAAAGCCTAAGGCCTCATGGCGTTCTGGGCAGCTGGTGTGGGCCTGGAAGGTCGCAACGGAGGCAAAGTGTGATAGCCTGGCTTATTAGGGATGATAGACTACTCATATAAGGAATTCCTTCTTTTCCAGAAGCCCATTCAGACAGAACTCCAAAGTTAAGCGTGCTCAGCTTGGAGTAATTTCAGGATGGGTAACCGATCGGGAAGTTGCTCCCGGATGCGCATGAGCAAGGACAAAATGCGCAGAAAAGACTAGTATTGATCCATGATGCCAGTCTAGATCCCGCCAGGAGTAACGACCACCGGGCGGGTGTGTCCGAGGCGTTACATAAAGCAAGTAGACCGAGAGGAAACAGCAAAAGGAAGAACAAAGACAAACCATTTTGCCGAGAAAAAAAAGCAAACTACCGGGCTAGTCTGCCAGATGCTGGGCCGTGATGGGACGACTAACAACACACAAACTGGACCTCTAAAATTCTAATCCGGCAAACCGTATTTAGCGCCTTTAGCACCGGTGGACCTAAAAAATCCTTTCCCTCAAAAAAAAAAACCTAAAAAATCCTAATCCGGCAAAACTTATTTGGCGCCAGTTAAAGGTAATTGTGCCAACCGGCTCACACACCCCTCCGAGCTTGCCCGACCATTTTGCTGTGTTTTTTGCCATTTAACCTTCAAAAAATGCGTGCGGGCGACAGGTCAAATTCGGGACCTTTCGTTCATAGAGGAGAGCGCAAACCACTGGGACAACGCATCACTTGTGTCAAGATAGTATTTTTCTTTTGGTTTTATCCTTTATCATGTTCCCGGAAGCCCGTTGACCCCAAACATGTTTTTTTCCGGTTCGCTGGACGTTCTCCAAAACGGGTATTAGTTTTTTATTGTTCCTTTTTTCTTAAATGCAGAAACTTTTTTAAAATTCATGAAATATTTTTGAAAATGATGATCTTTTTTCTTCAATTGATGAAATTTTTTTCTTAAAAATTTCATGATTTGTTTCTCAAAATTTTCAAATTCATGAAAATTTTAGAAGAATTGATTATTTTTTAAACCTATGATTATTTTTTGCAAATCCATGAAAATATTTTCAAAATTGATAAACATTTTCCAAAATAATCAAAACTTTTTCAAATCCATGAACTTTTTAAAATTTTGTGAACTTTTTATGAGAGGATAAATTTATTTTCAAAATCGATCATCTTTTCTCAATATCGATGAACTTATATTTAAAATCATTGAATTTTTTGATTTTTCTGAACTTTTTAAAAACCCATGAACCTTTTTAAAAAAGTTGAAGAATTTTTCTCGATATTTTTGGAAAAAACAATATTGTTTTTATCATTTAAAAGAAGTTTTTCGATTTTTTGTGATCCATCAATCAGTCAACGGTTCAGTGGTAAGCTGTCATTCGGTCAAATATGAAATCCATCGATCGAGCATTCGACGAGGAATTAGCACAACTATCGTTGCTTGGCTGGCCAACGGAGCTCGCGCGTGAGCGCCACTACGGTAGCGGGCGCATAACGCGCTGATTAGGACCTCCCTAGGAGCTCCTATTATGGACCAAGGCGATGAAAAGCCATGAAACACACAACCACGCGCCCTTTTGGGCCGGCCCATGCACGGGCAGGAACCCCTTTTTTTGCTTTATCCTTTTCATTTTCTTATTTTTAAAATTCCTGTTTTTTAAAAATATTCAGAAACTTATAAAATATTCATGTATTTAAAAATGTTCCTTTTTTAAAATTCTCACTAAAAAAAATAATGTTCGTGAATTCAAATGAGCGTTCATGAATTTCAAGAAATGTTTGCCGATTCAAAAAAGCTCACAAATTTATGAAAATAGTTCCAGGTCATCATCGTGTAACAAGATGTTGGTGCCGGCGACGAGCACAATCCACCCGGTGTTCCATGTCTCGCAAGTTGGTCGCGCCCTTCCTCGAACCGAGCAAGTTGTGGATGAACTCCCCACAGGAGCAGCGTAAAGACCTGAACCGGGTGAGGCACCCGACGCCCGGACTCATCATCGCGGCGGGATGGCGGTGACTCAAGTGCTGATTCGATGGACGGATCGCCAAGACCTTTTTTTAGGGGACCACCAAGAGCTACTACGTTACGGTGCAAACCAGCGCCTGCAGCCGCGATAGCTGGGCCGGCCATGTATCTCCCTTTTTCCCTATTTGAAGCTCAAAAAAGGTGCGGTCGCGGGAGATCGAACTAGTGATGTATTCCTCTAGAGCGAACGACTGCAACCATAACGCCATCGATCAACCAGTGATTGCTGAGTAGTTTTCATTCATTTATTGTTTCTTAAGTCGTGGGAGGCCACTGATTTTGGGAAGCTCCCAGAAGCTTCCAAAGCCGGGGTTTTTCCCAGTTCCCTGGACATTTCCAGCACGGTTTTATTCGGGTTTTCTTTTTCTTTTTTATCGTTTCTTTTTCTTTTTTTCGTTTTACTAAATGCGTGATTTTTTCTCTTTATATTCTTTTTTATACGTATTTTCTTTCTTTTGTATTCCGGATTTTTCAAGTTTATGAACTTTTTTTCCAAATGGGATGAACTTTTTCCAAACTCAATGAACTTTTTTCCAAACTCGATGATTTTTTTTTGAAAGTCGATGAACTTTTTTTCAAAATCGATGAACATTTTCCAAAAAATCGATGAACCTTTTTTAGAGCTTTTTTTCAAATGGATGAAACTATTTCTTTAAGTCTTTTTGATTTTGCATTTTTATTTCGTAAGAAATGAAAAAACTGGCAGTTTTTTCCTACCGAAACAGAAAAAAACCGGGCTGCCAGCGAGCGGCCGATGGAGCGACTTGTTTTTTTCCCGAGCGAGCAAGCGCGCTCGTGGGCCGGGCCATCTGAGCGCCTAAATCGCTGAGTCAAGGCCTGGGCTGTGAGGCAACGGCAGCCGATATCCAGCCCACAGGACAAGCGCAGCTTCCTGGAAGACGGCGGCTCTCCTCTCTCACATTTCCCCGACGACCCCCGATGACATCCCTGGCGACGGCGCCGGCGCCGGCGGCGTCGGGCGGGCGGGAGGGCGACGAGATGGTGATCACGCCGCTCGGCGCGGGCAGCGAGGTGGGCCGCTCCTGCGTCCACCTGAGCTTCAAGGGGCGCACAGTCCTAGTAAGCATCCCCGAAACCCTAGCTCCCCCTTCTCCGCTCCTCTGCTCCCGCCTGTCCGGGGAATCTGACCCATTCCGTGCTCTCCAGTTCGACTGCGGCATCCACCCGGCGTACCCCGGCATGGCGTCGCTGCCCTTCTTCGACGAGATCGACCCCGCCGCCGTCGACGTCCTCCTCATCACGCAGTAACCAACCAACCAACAAATCTCGCCCTCCCTCTCTTGATCCCCGCCCGTCCTTCCTTCTCCATCCTGCTCATTCTGCCTTGAATCTCTCTGTATTGCAGCTTTCACCTGGACCACGCGGCCGCGCTGCCATACTTCCTGGAGAAGGTAACTGGCGTCTGCTCGCTTGCTGGATTCAGATTGTAATTGCGGGAGGCGACGCACATGTTTCATGTCTGAATTTTCTCTGCTTTGCAGACCGCGTTCAAGGGCCGAGTCTTCATGACCCACGCCACCAAGGCCATCTACAGGCTGCTGCTCTCCGATTACATCAAAGTCAGCAAGGTGTCCGCCGAGAACATGCTGTTTGACGAGCAGGATATTGTCAGCTCAATGGAAAAAATTGAGGTAAAACACCTTCTTTTCGGCAGATATAAAATGCAGCGATGCATGTTCTTTAAGAAGCAAGTTTGAGTTGTTTCCTATATGCCTGGTTGATAATTCAAGTGTTTTCCTTTCATCGCCTAGCACGATAAATGTCACTGGACTGTTGGTTAACATTACAGCTAATGCATGATTCTGCTTGCGAGGATTAAAATATGTTAATTTATCACAGGAGGATGCACACTGTCTTTAACATATACTTATCATGCAGGTCATAGACTTCCACCAGACACTGGAAGTTAATGGCATACGCTTCTGGTGCTATACTGCTGGGCATGTACTTGGAGCTGCCATGTTCATGGTGGATATTGCTGGCGTTCGCATTCTTTACACTGGTGACTACTCCCGTGACAGGCACCTGAAAGCTGCTGAGATCCCCCAGTTCTCCCCTGATATTTGCATTATCGAGTCAACTTACGGTGTGCAGCGACACCAACCCCGCCATGTCAGAGAGAAGCGCTTCACTGATGCCATCCACAACATTGTTTCTCAAGGGGGCCGTGTTCTTATCCCAGCATTTGCTCTTGGTAGAGCACAGGAGCTGCTGCTTATCCTAGATGAGTATTGGTCCAACCACCCAGAGCTCCATAAGATTCCAATCTATTACGCCTCCCCTCTTGCGAAGAAGTGTATGGCTGTCTACCAGACATACATAAACTCCATGAATGACAGGATCCGCAACCAGTTTGCACGGTCCAATCCCTTCCATTTCAAGCATATTGACCCTTTGAGTAGCATAGACAACTTCCATGATGTTGGTCCGTCAGTGGTGATGGCAAGTCCAGGTAGCCTCCAAAGTGGCCTCTCCAGGCAGCTCTTTGACAAGTGGTGCACAGATAAGAAGAACACATGTGTTATTCCAGGTTATGCTGTTGCTGGCTCCCTTGCAAAGGAGATCATCACTGAGCCGAGAAAAGTGCAGCTAGCAAATGGGCTCACTGCTCCTCTCAACATGCAGATCTTCTACATCTCCTTTTCAGCTCACGCGGATTTCCCACAGACGAGCGGCTTCCTGGGCGAGCTTCGACCAGCCAACATCATTCTTGTACACGGGGAAGCAAATGAGATGGGGAGGCTCAGACAGAAGCTGATCACTCAGTTCGAGGGAACAGACACACAGATCGTGTCTCCCAAGAACTGCCAACCAGTGCAGCTGTATTTCAGCTCTGACAAGATGGCCAAGGCAATTGGCAGATTGGCAGAAAAGGTGCCAGAAGTGGGGGATTCTGTCAGTGGCTTGCTTGTGAAGAAGGGCTTCACGTACCAGATTATGGCTCCTGAGGACCTCCGGGTGCACACACAGCTATCTACCACCAACATTACCCAGCGGCTCGCTGTCCCGTATTGTGGTTCTTTTGAAGTCATCAAGTACAGACTGAGGCAAATATACGAGAGCGTGGAATCATCAACCGACGAAGCCGATGTTCCAACACTGATTGTTCATGAGAGGGTGACCATCCGCCTGGATTCAGAGAGCTACGTGACGCTACAGTGGTCCTCTGATCCCATAAGCGACATGGTGTCTGATTCCGTGGTGGCTATGATCTTGAACATAGGGCGTGAGGGACCAAAGGCCGTTCCAATGGAAGAGGAAACAGAGATGGTGGCGCAGAAGGTGGTGTACGCTCTCATGGTGTCGGTCTTCGGCGACGTTCAAGTGGCGGGGGAAGGGAAGCTTGTTATAACTGTGGATGGGGATGTCGCGCACTTGGATGGGAGGAGCGGTGACGTTGAGTGCGCGAACGCAGCGCTGAAAGGGAGGATCGAGACCGCGTTCCATCGCATTCAGGGTGCTGTGAGACCAATCCCGCTGTCGGCCTCCTGAGGTGAAGCCATGATGTAGGATGCTTTTAACATGGTGACTGTTTCCTAGGTGATTAAACAGGGCAGCAGGTCGTGTTAGATTTAGAACATGAGTTGTATAGCATTGTAGGCAATTTCTAGTGGTTATCTGAACAGTCCTCTCACTTGCAGTAACTTTGAGCTGAGCTGAAGTTGCAGTGCAGCTGAGCTGAGCTTCTCCTTTTGTCTTTCCGTGTGTCTGCTCATCTCATCAGTTTCTGGTATTGGCGTTATCCCTCTGTAAAGGAATATAAGAGGATTAGTGATCTAAACGCTCTTATATTTCTTTACGGAAGGAGTACTTGAGAAAGAAGGTGAAGAGCATTCAGTGAAGCCAGATCTGTTCTCGATTACTTCATTTTCTCTGCGCAGAAAAATAGTTTGAGAATTACTACTTGATTCCTCGGTATATGGTTATTACAATTCTGGGTGATCTTGGTCATGCTGCTGCTTTTAACGTCGTTCACTTTGTTTAGTGATGAAGTGAAACTTTATGTCAAATGTGATTTTTATGGATACTTTTGCGGTCATCCTGGTTGTTGGCAAGGGAAGAACTAACATTTTTTTTTCAAAGTTATCCACATTAACAGGGGAGGGAATTATCTTACTATTAATATTCATCACATGATGTGATTTAGTTTACTAAGTCGATGTGTTGTATCCACGGTAAATTCAGAAAATGGCGCCTCTCATTTCATCACCACATAGTCTCGTGTTCATTTGGTCTTCCTCATATTCATGGGGCTGCCTGGGGCAACGATCACTCCTGCTTAACGACCAAGTGAACTATAGATAAGCGATGATCACGCAAAGTTTCTAGATAAGATGAGGAGCATAGTATTGTGTTTTTATGTCAAGCAAAATCATTACTTATTGCTATGTATTTTGAGGATAAGCATCCTCTCAGCCATTACTTGAAAATTTACAATTGTACGTACGGATGGCACATCAAAAAGATTCTTGTTATGCCATTTTAGAATCAAGCTGAGGTGGTTTAGACGTAGTTTGTATGATTGAAGGTTGGCATGCTATAGTTGACAGTCCTGTTTGCCTATTGTTCAGTTAAAGCCTACTGTATTTTGTGTAGTGTGTTAACTTCTGAAATATTAACCCTACTGTGGAGAGGTCCTCTAAGAATACCTGCCGCACCTTCGCCTCCACCTTATCGCCTTTGTATGAAACTCATGTTTGTGAAGATCTTATGGACAGCCTGCTTCACGAAATTATTGCTCTCTTTAACTCATTCCATGACCGAACAATGCTCTCACTCGCTGCTGCAAGTTGTTCGTGGATGTCCATAGAGATTTGTTCTCAATTTTTTTTATAATTACAAGTTATGTGTAATCACTATGTATGTCGCTGGTCTCATATTTGCATATGTCATTCGAGTGATTATTCAACTGTTACAGTAGTAACATACACCCATGTATTCAACTAGATTTGAAGAGCATATCAGTTGTAACCAAGTTATGGTAAAAACAATGGAAATCATTTTGTCAAAGTTTTTCAAAAAAATCTTTTAAAATACAATATGTTAGCAGATTGATATTCTATATATTTATATGTGGAATTTCGATCTTATTCAATTCGGAGGTACTTGCAAAATTCATACTGATGTTTAATAGAATCTGATGGAGGATGAAACACATATATCTGACTAAGCCTAAATTACTTATCGAACGACAAAGAGGCAGGAACTTGATACAAAAACAAGTGCATGCAAAAATGAAGGCAAATCGTGGTTTAACACAACTTGAAAACATACACCCTTCATTTAAAAATGTTTAATAGAATCTGATGGAGGATGAAACACATATATCTGACTAAGCCTAAATTACTTATCGAACGACAAAGAGGCAGAAACATGATACAAAAACAAGCAAGTGCATGCAAAAATGAAGGCAAATCGTGGTTTAACACAACTTGAAAACATACACCCTTCATTTAAAAAGAGCATACATGCAAAGTACCTAAAATAAACGTTGCAGGTGAACATACTTTGTTTTTGCTCCGCAAGTTATGACAAAAAGTATATTTTCATGTCTTTTTTAGTAGTATTGCAAAAGGGAGTCCCATTTTTTAAAATGCCACACTTCACATATAATAAATACCGTGAAACAATTTACCATTTATCTAAAGAATTGTTTTACTATCTATGTGTTTTTAAATGACTTGCCCGTGTGGAAGCACATGTTGATGACTAGTTTATCTAAATGTGTGATGCTTGAGTTTTTCTGTAATCCAAAAAAATACTTTAGTTTGCGGTGCGCCCATTGCTTAAACATTTTAGTAGCTCCTCCATGAAAAATTAATACTCCCTCCGTTCCAAAATAGATGACTCAACTTTGTACTAACTTAGAGAAGGGAGTATTTCATAACCCGCTCGTCCAACAATTGCAACCATGATCTGACTTTACTTGGGTTAGAAGTGGCATGACATATGTACCCACCTCGTACTCAAAAATCGGAAGAGTCGGTTCAAACTTAATTTCAAGGTGCTAGCTCGGTTGTACTATGTCAATGGCTGTAGCAGCCTTTAGCGAGCACCATTTTGCATCATTAAACTATATACACAGTAGAGAAGTCTCCAATGTATGTGACCTATTTCTCATTTGTGGTTGAAAGTTGACAAGCTGCTAATGTATGTTTTTACACGTAAATTGCTTGTCACCGTTGCCTACGATGGTACACCCGTACCGCCACACACCCACTTCCACATTTAACTCATAGTAATGGCATCAAGCCACACGTTAACGTATCAAGGTTTGTCTTCACCAACATTCCAATGGAACGGTATCACTATGTTGCTAATAAGAAAGGGTCACGATTGTTTATCACACCCAGAATTATCACTATGTTTCCTATGTTTGCATGGCTACTGAATTGTATCCATATATCTCATATTATTTTATTTCTATGGGAAAATGTAATAGAAACTTTGGAGAATATGTTAAAACCCAAGCACCTTGCAGCATCACTAACATTTAGGGAACGAGTACACGTGTGTATGTTTCAATATATATCAGTCACATCCACGCTCTATCTATTAGCTAGTATATATATGCACATCCACCATATATACAACGTGTGTTGTTGAAAATCCACTAGAATAGATACAAATGGAATAAGTGTTAGATGGTGGGTACCGAAATGGACGTATAGATGTACATGTAGGAGGTCAATTAGTTTATTAGAATTGCAGGCACCGGGAAAGAGCTAGCTAGTGTGGGATAGCCTCATTGGCAGGAACTTGGATCGGCCTGCATGTACTTTTTGTGAAAAAGTCAGCGCCCAAGCCTCTAGGAAACCAAAATGATGCTAGCTTTTCCCCACAAAGCCGTGGAAAAAATCTAGCATCATTTTGGTTTCCTCGTCATATGAATCGTTCCTAATTCTAGAGTCGAACGATAATTGGCAATCTCATTGTTTTCCGAGCGAGCAAAGTCCAAAGAGATCAGCCACGAGCCTGCGATGTAGCCAGTCTGCGGCGTGCACCATGACCATGCGGAAGACGAAGGCAGGGAGAGTATGCAGCTACATATGACCATGTTGAGTATATTGATTATTAGGAAAGACTAGATAGATTAGGATTAGTTCTGGCTTGTCTTGTACTCCAAGTTGATCATTGTACTCCTATATATATGCTCACGAGGCTCAAGCAATACTATTGAATTATTCCACCAAATCCCTCTTTCCCTTCCAACATGGTATCAGCCTAATCACGATCCAAACCCTAGCCGCCGCCGCTTCCGCACCCGCGCGCCGCCCCCGGGGCGGTCGGCCTCCATGACCGTCGCCGGGGGCCGCGCCGCCCGTACCTAGGGTTCGTCCGCCGGCCGTGTTGGCCGGCTGTCCTAGAGAGTCTTTTTCCCGATCCTTTGATCCGGTTTTTTCTCTCTTTCGTCGGTCGCTTTGATCGGCGTTTACTTTTCGGTTTTCCGATCTAATCATGATCGGTTTGCGTCGCCCACCGCCGCCGTCGACCCCGAGCGCCTCTACTTCGACCCAGGCGCGACTAGCCGGCCTCTCCTCCGACCCGGCGGCCACGCGCGTCGAGGCGGCCCTTCGCCGCCGCCGTCCGCGCGCCGGCCCGCCCGTCGATCTACGCCGGCCGTCACCGCCCTGCTCCAACCGGGACTCCTGCATCACCCGACCCGGCGGTCTCGCGCCATGCGGCGGCCAATCATAGCCGCCTTGCCGCCCGTCGTCGCCGGCTTCATCTCGGACACCGCCGCCACCCCGTCTCCACCGAGCGGCGTCCCCGACCTCGCACGCGATCGGACTGATCACCCGCCCGCCGCCGCGATCCGCCTCATCTACGCCGTACGACCGACCTGGCCCGTCGGTTGCGCGCGCCTCCGCAGGTCCCGTGAAGATCGTCCCCGAGTTCGGCGCGTCCCTCCACCGATCGAGCAACGGGCTGCCGCTGCGTCGCCCCATCGGACCGCAGCGCCGCCGCCCCGTGGTTCTTCTCCTAGCTGCACCGACCCGCGTCACCGCTGCGTCGCCCCTTCGGGCCATAGTGCCGCGGCCCGCGGCCCCCCGCCGCCCCGAGGCCGTCCGCTCCTGGTCGTCCCCGTGGCCGCACCGACCCTCGCGCCGCCGTCGCGTCGCCCCGTCAGGCCATAGCGAGCGTGGCACGCGGTCCACGCAGCCGTTCCGAGGCCGTCTCTGCGGTTGCACCGACCCACACTCGTCCGCCACGCCGCCCCTTCGGGTTGTCGCGCCGCGGCCCGCGGTCTCCGCAGCCGCCCCGAGGTCTTACCGTCGTCGCCCCCGACCTGCCCGCCGCCGCTGCGTCGCCCCTTCGGGCCGTAGCGCCGCGGCCCGTGGTCCACTCCGCCGTCACCGCGCGATGACCTCCCGTGGTATGCGCCGCGCCGTCTCCCTTGGCGCGGGAACGCCACTGTCCGCGCCGGTCTTCATCACGCTGTCGGGTTCTTCGCCTACTTCGAGCACCGCCGCCGCGCTCCTAACCTAGCC